TATCAGGGTCTGATCTACACTCTTTGTTCAGTAAAACACAAATTTCAGGATTTCTGCCCATGAACTTCAATGTTTCTAAAACTGGCACACATATAAACGTATCCCTTATAGGTACTTGATCATAAGTACCAGATTTCTGATTTCGCCTGCTGTCATATCTTACACCGAATGTAATTTCTACTGGCTCAACCACCCCCCATTGTTGTTTGAAGTATTTGTTTAGTCTCCATTCTGTATTTAGATGTGCAAATGGATTTTCAAATTTTTCAAAGCATTTGTTGATCACAGATATATTAGGATCATTTTTGCATAGTGCAGAAATAACACTGTGCTTTGCCTGCGATCAAATCTCACTTGTTAGTTCCTCCAAATCACCAACAATTGAGGATACCAAACTATTAGAAATCCCACTCCCTTGTAATTTGGCCACAAACAATGCACACATTTCTTTGGTTGAATCTTTACTGAGCCCGAAGTCACTGCTCTCAGGAATAATACTGGAGGAGCTATATTTATTGTGAGGATTAACTTGATCCTTCCAGACATCTGTCTGATATGAACTTGCAACTGGCTCATTAGGGGAAGGTACAGCAGCTGAAGTTTGAGCAATTTCCTGAACATTGCTATGAACACTGTTAAGGTGCTTCCGAAAGCCTGCATAAGTCAGAAACTGAAGCCTGCAACCTGGCTGAGAACAAAACAATTTGAACTTGGGTCCAGGATAGTAACCATGTTCCACTCTTAAATATGAAATCAACTGCTGGCTGCTAGCACGCAGTTTCTGGCACATAAAACAGCTCAACATTGTTCTAGACTCTCACAGAGTGTGAGTGGAATTGGCTGGTTAAGCGGCTTGGCTCTTAGGTCTCTCACTCTGGGTGACTCCTTCATTTTTCCTACATCAATGTTATACACTGTTGTCTGCAAGAATGTTATGCATTATAGGACAAAGAGGCACAGAAAAGAAGATCAAACACCAGCGAGGGAGGATAAGAAAGACAGACACAACAACATTGTCATCCCCTATGTAGCCGGTGTATCAGAGAAACTCAGGAGAGTTTTCTCCAAGCACAGCATCCCGGTGTACTTCAGACCCAGCAACACACTCACACAAAAACTGGTTCACCCGACAGACAAAACTCCAAAACACAAACGTAACAATGTGGTGTATGCTGTACAGTGCAG